ATTTTATGGATTCTCATGGCGAAAATTGTGAAAAAATGCCCTGAAAAGTGACCAACTATCGGAATAAAGCTGTTGATCGACAGGGTCAAAATTACAAAATTAGCTAGATGTGGAGGTGCGATGAAGCGTATGAAATTATGGCAAAACATTAATGTAATCAGTGTATAAGAAATGATGCTAAGAGCTTACTTAATTATCATCATTTATCCGTCTGGCGCTCGAAGCGACATAATACGTGCCTATCTCCCAGGAAAAAATTGTCCATTTCCAATTATTGTGGCAGGCACAAGCAAGCTTATGAGTTTAGCCTTTAGCCTTTGCCTATGAGTTACTGTAAATCGTTTACGGTTCTCACCTACTGTTTCATGGTTAAAGTCTAGATGTTTCTGTTCAGCTTTTCGGCTTTGGCCATAATTCACCAGTTGAAGTATAGTGTAATGAATACTTATGTTTCTCTGCCACCTCTTTTACTCGATGTTTCATGTTGTCCAACTAGTCGTCGTCTGTTGTATTTCAGTTTACACATGAAATCAAAGTTCAGTCTATTAAGTGTTAGACTCCCGATTTAGAGAACTTCGCTTTGAGTGGTTCTGGGAAAAATTCTTATTTCTTCTCTCTGGGGTAAGTGAATAAGTTCTGCTTCATGGGAAGAAAACAGGAAATTTCACTCTCTAGCTGTTCATCACCAAGATGTACATATAGCATATTACTACCACATTTCTCGATGATAATCCAGAAACGGGTATCAGTGCCGTATAGAAGAAGAATGCTATAAATGACGCGCAGTCATGAAAACGAGAAAAGAACTGTCTCAACGATTACAAAATTTTCATTATTTCTTGCCGTAAAAATGAAACCATCAACTTAAATGAAGTAGTTTTCTTGCTCAGCTAATTTCTCTTTGCCATCTCTGGTCATATTTTCTTAGTCTGTGTATACGGACAATGGCTGCTATCAACGAAATCAGTCCTTGCGAACCTACCATTTGACAACCATTTGCATCGAAGCCGGCATTGTTGTACGCTTTTCAGCCTAACGTTGTTCCTCCGTTCAGGCAATGTCCGTATACCATGTAACACCTCTGACCTAAGATTATATCGCCTAACTCTTCCTTATAATTGATTTTATCCGTTCGTTTCACCATGGATCTAGAGGATGATATTTCTGACGATTGATCGATTTTAGGTGCTGGCTCAACAAAGAATGACTCGGCAACAGCAGCTTCAGCGGCAGCAGCCGCCAGACGCTCCGGTCGACCTGACAGCATTTTTTGAAACGCTTCCACCGTCGTTGCGACAGCAGATCCTTTCGGACGTCGATGACAGTCAGATCGCTCTTTTGCCAGCACATATTGCGAACGAGGCGAGACGATTGCGCTCACAGTACGACGAACAGGAAGCGGCGCGATTTGCTTCTATGTCCCGCCAGTTTTCATTCATGAACTTCGTTGGTCGTCGCGAAGGTAACCTGAATATCGATTGGTTACTGTAGTTTAAGAACTATGATCAAACGAGTCGAATAATTTGTTACATAATTTTTGAGACTTCAGTTGACAACATGTTAAATCGGCATGTTTAACAGATAGTAAAAATATCGTTAGTAATAACTGTATATCCTCAAATAAGATCCT